ATATCACGCGCACCTCCACCGATTCATCTACTACTGTGGGTATACCCCTCGATAGACTGTCGACCAGATTTCGTCGACAGCAAAACAACCGCCTCCGTTAATCTGCCATTAACCGAGTTCTTTGGTTGGAGGCGGTTGTGTTGCCCTCCTCCGTTAACCAATTTCGCCCGCCTCAGTTAAGCACTGTGTAGTAGTGGGTGAAAGTTAATGTTGATGGAGCTTTTAACCAAGAAACTGGACGGGCGGGCATTGGTATTGTGATACAGAACAGTGCAGGTGTGGCTATAATTTGTGCTTGGAAGGCCATCTTTGAAGGGATGAATGCAGAGGAGGTTGAAGCTTTAGCTTGCTTAGAAGGGGTGCGACTGGCAACGGAATGGACACAGAGTAAAACCATTATTGAATTTGATTGCTCATTGGTTATTCAAGCTGCTTGCCGTCCAGGTGTGGATAAATCGCGGCTCCCTTTTATTGTAAATGATATAAAACATGTGTCTAGAATGCTAACAGAGGTGAGATTCCAATTTGTGAGGAGAGAGCAAAATGAAATCGCTCATGAACTCGCGCAGCTAGCGAAACGCATGTCACACTCAGCGGTGTGGCATGTGCAGGTTCCCCAACGCATGGAGTCATTAATTGCGAAAGAATGTAAATGTTTCATGAGTAATCAATAGAGCTCTCTCCCTTTTGGCAAAAAAAAAAGGATGAACGATCATGTGTCGTGGTTTTTGTGGGCGTGCCTTCAAGGCTAAATACATAGGCCCTGAACTTGCATACTTGCCTTTTATTCTTTGGGTTATAACAAGACTTTTTCCCCAAAAAAAAGGTCACTAGGTTACTTGTATGAGCACTCATGAAGCAATGATTTCACTTTTGATACGTGAGTTGTCCATAGCAAAGCATGGGAGGTTACTTGTATGAACACACATAAGCAGTCTAGACGTCAAGCTATGGCCATCTATATTGCTCACACTACTGTGGCGTCTCTGGGATGCTCCAAATGGAGAAGTGTTTCAGGGTGATCAAACGTCCATAACGAAGATTATCACACGTGTGACTGAAGATCTTGCTGTATGGAAAAAGCGTTTTGTCCTCAGGAATGCCGGCACTGCGGATAGCATTCAGGCCTGGCTTTTATATCTGAATGAATGTAAACACTCCCCTCATGTACCCGTTCTGCCCCCTGTAGCAACGGTCTCTGTAACAAACGTTTGAACTTTGGTAATATAATTTCCAGGTGGGGATCCTCTCCCCCACCCCCCGTAGTTTGCTTCAAAAAAAAAACACATGAAGCAATAATTTCACTTGATAGTTGATATGTGAGTTTTTAAGGTTATGGTCCATAGCAAAGCACAGGCACCTTACTAGTAATGAAGGAACAGAAATTGAAAAGATTGTGGTACCCTCGTTTAGAACTTAGCAGACCAGTAGGCACCACAGTTCATCACAACACATACATGCATTGTTCAGTGAATCAATCTTGTCACAATGTGATTTGGTCACTAGGGAAAGAGTTTCATCACATCTTTCTTTACCCAAAAAAAATAATGAAGAAAGAAGACCCATGGTGTTCATGTAATGTAATTCAAACAAAATGTTTCCCAAACTGATCACAGTCACATTATAGAACACCATGAGACTGCTTGAGACGGTTTGCAACTTTTGAACCGCATACAAGGGGCACAGTGAGGAAAATTAACAGAAAAGGATATCGAGAATAAAAAGGAAGGATCAAACTCAAAAGTAGAAAACTATTATACTATACATATCTAGTCTACCTGTGGTTTCTCTCACATTTCACTGTAGAATTACTGTAGACTATACTAGTTGCAGCCAGCCACAACAGCTGGTAACGCCAGCCGAACAACAATTAAGCGTGACCATGTCAAGTGTAAGCTTTAACTAGTCTATTGATAGGCTATGACACAAAAAGCATATCAACATGATGCATAACATCATCTACTGTTATAACATCATCGTTGTAGACCAGGTAGTTGGACTCTTAGGTGGATCAGTCTTGTCTGGTTCCTCCCTGCATACAATAAAAGGAATATTTATATTAGAAATTATGTAAGCAAGTATTGACAAATCATATTATGGGGGACGTACAAATGCGATGAGTACTATATTACCTGACAACAGCTGCTTGGCCATACATATTTGAACCACAAAAAGCAGATAATAGTCGTCGTAACGATGAAATGTGAAAGAAACATCAACTTGTTGGTGAGATTGTCTGGCATGGTCTTCACAAGGATATAATCCATGAAACCAAAAATCGATATGATAATCCATAAAGTAAATGCACCAACAGCCCTGGTAACCTTTGGTCCTTGTGCAATATGAGCTAGCAAGACCCCTAGTACACCAGCAGTCAAAAGAATCACAAAGAAGACCAAGACAAACACCTTTTCTGAATTGATCTTACTGTTGTCCATTAGATTTTGTAGCACAGGGTGATTTTGGTTCTTGTCATATCTGGGAAAGAAGAACAAGATGATAGGCAATACAAAGAACACGTAGGCCACAAGTAATCCTTTAAACGTCTCCATCCAGTTAGTTGTCACTCCCTGCAATGTCATGTAGCACTTGTTAATACCAAGTATGGTACAGAACACCAATAAGTAGATAGCTACTGGTTGTCATGGAATTCAATATATCTGTACATTGAAAGTCAACAACAACAAAGCCTTTTAGTCCCAAGCAAGTTGGGGTAGGCTAGAATTGAAAGTCAATAGCAGTATTAATTTTTAGAGTAAAATGCGCAAATAGTACATAAACTAGGCACGTGGGTGCACTTAGGTACATCATCTCTCTAAATGTACATCTTGATTTGTGGGTGCACAGTTGCCATGGTCATGACACGTAGACAAAAAAATTCCAGGTTGGCCGCTGAGATGGCAAAGTTATACAAGGTCTAGCGTGCATGAGAGGGCGTGGGAGGCTATGGTAATTATCAGATGGCCCCTTAGTCCTTAATTTCCTCATTATTTTATCCTCCCAACTTTTGCACAAATAATAGATGGAGATGGTTTTGGCGGAGGAGAACGACAAACTGTTACGGCAACCGCACGGCCGCCAACGAGCGACCAGACGTATCCCTGGAGCAATGGGTCCAAGGCGACAGGAACCTGGAGGTTAGACTCCAGATTATAGTGAGTGCCAGTCTTTACCCGCTTTAGGAGATTTCTTTTAGTGTTCATGATCAGGAGAGATTAGATTGCTTTAAGGCTTGTGTATGAGGCCAATTTTGCAGGTCCAATACTGAACATGTTTATGTCATTGGACTGTAGGCAATTCATCACTTTTCAGTTTAGAAGTACACCATGGGGGATTTTTCTGTGGGCTTGCAAGGAACAGGGTGTATGTTGATGAAAAGGTCGACTGATTTGATGGTTGTGATGCTGAGGAACGGTCGCTGCTATTTTTGCCAGACATTCTAAAAGAGTTAGACTATGCAGAGCACAGACCAGTCAGTTGGTATTGGTGTATTCCAGAGTATACTGTTGCAGAGTGTTTGCTTCTAGTGACATGTGATGCAGATACCATTAGGATGATCAATGTATCAGCACACCATAATTTTTTTAGAATTTATATTGATCACTCAAACTTTATAGTGAAGCAAAGGCAGCAAATGGATGATGTCAATGTTTATGGCACGAGTGATCATCCCCTCCCACTTATCAGCCCCAAGAATGTAGTATCCATTGACGATAAAGAGGATAATTTAACCAAATTTTATGACGATGTGCCAAAGAGTTCAACTAATAATGTAGATTGCAATGGGTTTGATTCTGATGATAAAGCTTCAGGTTCTGAAATTGATGGAATGGACAGTGACAATGAGTTTGGGCAAGATGATGATGACTTATTTGAGGACAATGTTGACTCTGATGTGGAGGACGGCATGGTGCAATATAAAGGCAAGAAATTGAATGTGGAAGAGGTGGAGAAGGACAAGGACTTTGACATGCATGATCCTACAAGGATACAGTGATCCTACAAAAGATACTGAAAACCTGGTAAACATTATGATGCAACAAGTAAGCTAACTTTTCAAAGCCAACTTGGTACTTCAAATAAGAACACAATGTTTTACTTTGCTTACTGATGTATTTGATTTTTTCAGGAAATGGAGCACCAAGCTTATGCTCAGGAGAATGTGCCATTACCAGATGAATCCGCATTTGTTGCTGCCCATAGAGAGGACATACCACCTCCCACAATGCATACAACTGCAACTAGAGTTGGAAGGGCCGCAACTAGAGGCAGCAGAGGGAGAAAAGGTGGTAGAGGGCATGGTCGAGAGAACCAGGAATCAGGCTTTCCTTCCAATGTAGGGAGACGGAAGGCAAGGTCAAGAGGAAGAGGTGGCAGAGGATCTGGAAGATCAAGGGGACGAGGTGGCAGAGTACATGAGGACCACATTGATCTCAATTTAGTTCCTGATGAGATTAGTCTAACACAGACTCACCAGAGGCTAGCCAACAACATTACATTTAGCTAGATATTTAAGCTGTGCACATTCCAACAACATTACATTTAGCTAGATATTTAAGCTGTGCACATTCTTGTATAGCTTCTATTTTTCCCACAATTGTGTTCACAGGCAGCTCTGAAAACTCACACAGATTCAACCAGGAAGATAATTTCATTGCTTTCATAACATAGTATATTACATAGGCAATGTCGTACTACTGAACGTGTGGCCAATAAATCAGTGTCAGTTAATTGATCATTCATATGCGACAAAATTTACATGTGTCGTGTTCCAAAAGAGATGACTGCACAGAATTTTGGGAGTACTAAATTGCAAGATGGGAATGGAAATTTTCAGATAAGACCAAAATATGCCACATCACTAGCCAGCATGCCGTTTTTTGTGCCTATGTGTCGCGTTCAGTTGTGCACCCACCCGCCAAGTTATTGAACCCATATGTACATTTAGAGAGATGATCTAAGTGCACCCACACGGCAAGTTTATGTACTAATTGTGCATTCTACTCAAAAGAAAACTGGTGGTCATGCGGAATCACATTAGCAAAATAATTTCGAGAGAGACTTTCTGGCAATACCTGCCCCGATGCACTGCCAGTGCCCACCACGGAACCGAATGCACTGCCAGCGCCCATCACGGAGCCGGATGGAGTGCCAGCGCCCACCATGGACTCGGCTGCAGACTGCCCGGATGCACTGGCCACGGAGGAGCTAGCAGCAGGCTGCCTCGATCCAGCACCAGAATCCTTGTTCAAGCCTTGGAAGTGCAGAGCCTGCCCATCGCCTACGCACCGGTTCGCCCACCGTGGCGGCGCTGAATTGGCTTTGACCATCGAGGAGGCCGGGTTGGGAAAGTTGGCAGCGGGAAATGCCATCTCAATGTCGATGTCGGCGTATGGTTCCTCGTGCCCCTGCTTGGTCCATGCGTCGAACACGTCGCCTACGCGCCTGAACGGCCTCCACCGCTTTGCTGCTGTCGCCCCCGGGAAACTGGTGGTCGGCACCGGGTCGGAGGAGGCGGAGGTGGAGGAAGCCGGCGTGCCCGTCGCCCCCGGGAAACTGGTGGTCGGCGCCGGGTCGGAGGAGGCGGAGGTGGAGGAAGCCGGCGTGCCCGTGGGGATGAGGGGCGCACGCTCGTCATCGTCGCTGGAGTACGGCGCAGCGATGCGGATGCCGCGAACCGGCGGGAGCAGCTGGCTGAGGAGTGCGGCGGGGAGGGGCTTGTCGATACCGCCGCCAGCAACCAACGCCATGCGCCCGCGTTGTCGGTTGGATGCTAGAAGCAACGGAGGCGAAAGAGGTAGACGGCGTGCAACCGTCCAATTAATCCACTTCAATTCAAACTCAATTCAAATGTACTAGGATTGATAGTGAAATCTAGTTAATTTTCTATCTTAATAATCCAATCCTAATAATATATTGAATTGAGATGAATTAAAGCGTAGACAAACAAGCCCTTAGTTGAAAAAATACACTTCAATAATGGTTCTTTTTTATCTCCGGAAAGTATTCCCTCGTTCAAAAAAAAAAAGTGCTTATCTCACGTCCCGAGGAGTGAATCAAGATCAAATTTGATCAAATATATATAAAAATATACTAATGTTTATAATACTAAATAAACATCATTATATTAGTCATGTCATATATTTTAATGTAAACCTATCTAGAGATACAAATACCAATACTATTTTTCTATAGAATTAAATCTAGTCAAACTTAAAATTAATTGGCTCCTGGAGATATGAAACTTACACTTATTTTGGATGGAAAGTACACACTATCGCATATGTCAAACATTCTATCATATACAAAATAGGTCGTGGCCGTGACCAGCAATCCTAGCGGCTAGCATCCTACTCACATCTATAAAAGAGTAATACTATCCAAAATAGACTACTATTTATTATACTACCCATTTTTTGTCATTTCATCCATGAGCGTTACCTAAACTTGAAGCATACCCAGTGCATTACTGCCAAAACTACTGATTTGGAATGAAACTAAACTATTCATATAATTCTTAGAAAGGAATTAACTATTATAAACTAGTCTTAGTGGATAGTCTGATATAGATAACTAAATATATGTTAGTAGATGTGTCTTGCTGACGTAGATATTATAATTGTTTGTGCTAGTGAACTTTAATTGCAAGTGATAGTGGACTGCTGAGGTGAACACCATGTATGTCAAGATAATATTCTAGTGGGGTTTAGGATTTGCAAGTGATAGTGAACTGCTGAGGTGGACACCTTGCATGTCAAGATAATATTCTAGTAGGGTTTAGAATTATAAGAAATATACATATAGGCATTGTTTGCTTCTCTTATAATCCGTGCTTTTCAACTTATTTTTTCAGCTGGAACAGTGTTTTTCTCTCACAACAAATCAACCGAAACAGTGTTTCGGTTTGTTTTTCCAGCGAAGCGAACGGGGCCATAGATAGATATAGATTAGACCCCAAAATCCATTCTACCAGAGAATGACATGTGGGGCCCACATGTTATTCTCTTCCTTTCCTCGTAGCCATAGAAAAACTCAACCATCAGAGAAAAGAAGCACCGGCCACCGAAGGGGAGGGGGGAGGGAAGCACTGGCCACTGCCAGAGGCGGAGAAGGGGATGGCATGCCCAGATCCGGTGGCGGGGAGGCGATGGCATGGGCGGGAGTCGGTGATGGCCATGGAGGCACGGTGAAAGGTTCTAAATGGCTAGAGGATGGTGAATAGTCTATAAAAATCTCTACAAATTCACTTGAGCAAAGGGTTAGTAACCTAAATGGCGAAATGTAATTTTGTTCTAGCTCTACAGGGGTTGCAAGCCACCTACACCACAATTCTAGTTGATTAATATCTCTAGATCAATAAATGGCTAAGTCACTACTCTCTAACTAGTGAGCTCTCAAACTAGCTACACTAAAGAGCCTCACTAGACAAACTACTCAACTTAACAAGCAAGCTCTCAAACTAATTACACTAAAGAGCCTTGCTACACAACTATATATCAAAGTAAATACAAGAGAGTGAGTGAGATGATTATACCGCCGTGGTAAGAGACAATGAACCAATCAATGAATACCAAGTGAATCACCGGAAAAATTCCAATCACAATTGACACAAGATTTTTCTCCCGGGGTTCACGTGCTTGCCGACACGCTAGTCCCCATTGTGTCAACCAACACTTGGTGGTTCGGCGACTAATAAGTATCACACACCTAGCCAATAAATGGGCGCCGCAAGAACCCACCCACAAGTGAGGGTAACTCAATGACACGAACAATCCGCTAGAATACCTTTTACGATCTCCCGCGGGGAAAAGGTCAAGAACCCCTCACAAATATAATCCTTGATTGGGGGTGGACACAATCACCAAATCCCCTCACCAATCAACAAATCACTAATCGTCTAGGTGACGGCAATCACCAAGAGTAACAAGAAATCTACAATCACAATCATCACCTAGTGCCACCAAATATGCAATCTCAAAAGCACACACTAGGGTTTCTCCCAAATCCTCTCATGAATGAGCACCAAGCTTAGAGAGGGAGAGGAGAGAGAGATGCCCTTGAAGCTCACTAGATCAACACTTGTGGTTCTCAACTTCTCTCTTAGGGTTAGCACCAAGCTTAGAAGAGAGAGGAGAGAGGGAGCTTTTCTTCTTCAATCTTGGATCTCAAGATTTTCAAGAATGGGGGATGATGGAGTGAGAAAGAAGGAGGGGAGGAGCCAGCCTTATCCTCTAACCTGCCTCTTCCTCCCGACCGTTGCTGCTGAGGCTCCCATTCCCGCACTGGAATATCCAAGCAATGGCCTAGAATTTCTCGCGCAGACGCTCCTCTCCCGGATGTTGGCGTGGGTTGGACTCCCGCACTAGAAATTTCAGCTCGAGCCAACTAAAATTCCAACTAATTACGACCAACCAACAGAAGACCCCTACCTGGAATAATAAATCTAGTAAACAACTTGCCCAAAACAAGTGTTATTTCTTCCCAAAAATACCAAACCAATTTTAGCACTTGAGATAGCTTTTCACAAAGAATTTTTCCAAGCTTTCTCATGCATCTCACCACGTCACTAAGCGCAATATATATGCAAATAAGACTTACACTTAGTGGCACTAGATAACCATTGTAATTTAAGATTTCCCCTCTTTATAGTATGATTATTTATTCTAAACCTGATCATGCACTCTATTGCGTCTTGACTGGCAAAACAAAATGGTCTTAGGTTTTATACCTTTGCCTTGAGCCCATTTTATTTTTCTCTTTCTTCTTTTCCATGTTGGAGCACTTGATCATCTCATTTGGCCATCGCCACCACCTTGACCATCATCTAGCTCCATCACTTGGTGTGTACCAACCTAGCTCATATTCATCACTTAATGACAATGATTAGTACACTTAAATTTCATCAATTAGCCAAAACCAAACTAGGGCTTTCACGCAGGGACGGTGGAGAGGAGGAACCGCCATCGTACAAGCAGGATCTACCGTGGGGGAGGGCCGCGTGCAGAGAGGGAAGCCATGCAAGGAAGGGGAGCCATGCGGGGGGGCATCGTCGGAGAGGGCCACGCGCTGGGAAGGAAGCCGGTGGTGAGGGCCGTGCGCCGGGGTAGGGCGCCGCAGGAGAGGGGCGTGCCGGGGAAGAAAGTCGCCAGGGAGCATGTGCGAGCGAGCGCGGGGAAGAAACCGGAAGAAGCAGACGAATAAATTTTTGGGTAGTCATCTGTTGGGTCAACAGAAGTAGGTAGTGGGAGGGGGGATTTGTTGGGCCATCAAATTTGGGTAGTCTAACAGATAGCCTACTGAAATGTGTTTTTTGGCCTCCACTAACTAAATGTAGGATAGGTAGTGTGTTTAGTTAGTCTGATGGGTTGCTCTAACCTTTAAAATAGAATCTCCATTGGTTGTTTTATCTGTCAGTATTTCCTAGATTTGTAAATACTAGACAAAGATCTAATTCTGGTGAACCTCCCGAATGTTTAGGTTACCGTTGGCCGGGGTTTGTAAATAGTGGCGAGAGAAGCTGTTCGATTGATAGTTTTTGTGGTTGGTAAGCCGGTTGTAGCTGTTTTGTTGTGAGAGAAAAAACACTAGGCTGATAAGTTGAAGCAAACAGGGTATTGCTTGTTTTACAATCCATGAGAAGCAATAAACCTGGAAAGGAGCATTAGTTAGAAAAACTGCACCAGCATAAAACAGATGAAACCAACCCAATGAAAAATAAGACAAGGAAATTACCAGCACACTCTGGTTATTTTTTGTTATCTTCTTCGTCATATCAAGATGATACACAAGTCCATACTGGTACATAAAAAGAAATGGCAAGCAGTGTTTCAACAATAGTACCATGCTTCACAGCTGCTCTTTTTCCCAACATGATTCCCAACCTTTCTCTGGTGTTACACCAATACCTCCATGATTGCTGATCCACTTGTGCCAATCAGCCCAGTCATCCACAATCTTCTGCCACTCAAATCCAGAAGGATTGGACAAGCATGGTGCAAACAGCAAGTGCCCACCATAACCACATGGAAACGGCGATGAAAATGTAAGTTATAGCTCCACTATATGACTGACCCAATATTTCATACACCACTGCTCACTCCGTCACAAAAAGAATGAAAATCTTACTTTCCAAACAGTCGAACAATCCCACTCCATCAAAAAAAAAAGAATGAAAATATTACTTTTCAAAGAGTCAAACAATCTTGAATTTTGACTATATTTATAGAAAATAACATTAATGTTTGTATCTTTAAAAAGTTTTGTTATAAAAATATATTACATTATTAATCTAGTAATACTTGTTATACATAATAAGTATTAGTAACTTTTTTATATATATTTAGTCGGACTTGAGGCTGTTTGATGACTTATCAGGAAGCGAGATTTTAAATATTTTTTTTTGAAGATCTTTTTTTTAAAAGATCCGGTACGGCCTGACTTGTATTAATATTAATAATAAGAACGAGTTAGAAAACTACACATGCGAGAAGCGCACAACACCCTTGTCCTGAGACTTCATTTCTCTCCAGGATCATCAGCTCGATTCCTTCCTTGTCAGCAAATTTGGTATGGAACACCAGTGTCCCCGTGGCAGCCCCTGCAAAGTCGATAATGGAGGCGAGTCCGTTGTCTACCGAGCAGCCGTCACCAAAGAACAAGTGTCCACCAACGATGCTTCCTCCTGAGAGGCGGCCGTCGGAGAAGGCGGGCACCCGGGTGCTGGTGCTCCCGCTGGACAGCTCACGACGAG